CACAGCGTCGCCAGCTCGCCAGGACGCGCGCACACACTCACACGCACACACACACGCACAAATACAAACACGCACATTCACGCGCTCACGTATAGTTAATCATTCATCATACCGCCTTGTTCCCGTCCGTCTCCAGGACGCTCAACTGTCGGAACGAAAAATAATCATCAACGACAGCCACGGCCGTTCCCGTACGCTATGTGCCCGCGTCGCCTTGTTGTTATTCCACTTCAGCCCGAGCAGCAGCAGCTGGCCGCGGTGAGGATGCGTGTAAACGCTCGACGACGGGGTCGTCACTCCACTGCCTTTCGTCTGCGGTTAAATAGGCGAGGCGCGTCCGGCCCGAAACAAGTGCGTGGGTATGGCATGTAGTGTTCTGGGTAAGGAGGAGGAAGCGAACGCAGGCCGGCCGCCGCCGTCAAGGTAAAGAGACGAACAAGAGAAAAGTTTGCAGCGGGATAACGGCGGCGGTGATGGTCCCGTGCGGCGGCGCAGAGAGGCGGCTATGTACGGCCGCGTCTCGTCCAGTGGCGTAAAGACAATGAAAAAAATGCAAAGCATGTGCGGGGGGGGAGGGGGGGCCGGACCAGAGCACCGACAACACGCGACCTGCAGGTGTGTCCGGCTCGTCGTGTTTCAGATTCGCTTGTTAATTTTTGCCTCCATCCGGTTAATGAGCAGCATTATTATGCGGTCCACAGCAGACCAGGGGCGAGACGGCAGCAAGCTGCAGCAGCAGCAAAATCAGCAGAGGTTCTCCTTGACCAGAGGCGCACCCCGACCAAAAGCTAAAGCGACCCGGCGGCGGCGGGCAGGACCGTCGGGGCGAGCAGGGCCCCCGCCGGCTCCGAGGTGGCGGACGTGCCGCCCTGGGCGTGAGCCCCGCTGACCACGCCGCGGGCGGGGCGGAAAATGTCCTCATCTAGGCCCTGGTGCCACACGACCACGACCTACGCCCATTTTTCTCAAACTCATTCAAATCACAGTAGCTCGGCGCCTGCGGTATTCAGGGTATGCCAACCCGCGGTACACCCATGCACTGCAGACAATATGTTGCCTACCTACCAGGCGCTTTGGAAGCTTGCTAGCTATAGAGTCCTAGAGGGGAGAGAAACGCAAACTCGAGAAATGCGTCGATGAATCCCTCATACCGCTACCCCACCCTGCCCCGCCACTCCTCCCCGCTGAAACCAAATCTCCCCAAGATGGCCGCGTGAGCATGCGCACAAGCGCGTGCTCCTCAAGATGGCGACTCGGGTTTAGCAGCTGTTTACGTGCCGTAGTCCGTGAAGCGTACGGCTAAAATCAACAGTTTTTAATATTTAGAAGTTAGCCAGCACCCCAAAATGCAGCGAGCCGAACGGGTGTGAAATTTAGGTTTCCGATCGATGCTTTACCAACACAGGACGTCCTCGTATTTTCGAGAACAGTTAGTTTCCCCGGTTTTTCCGTCTGCTGGCAACGTCGCCCGGCCGCAGCCGCCGCCAGCCGCTCGCGCAGGTTAGGTTGCGGAAACATGTTGCACGAATACTGATCGTTCTTAATAACTAGAAGTCGTACCGGAAAGCCAAAATATCGGAAACAATGCTTAAACTCTACCGAAAAAGGCGCTCAATATAGTTTAGAGCTAACTATAATTTTAAATTTATAATTACAAATTAAAACACACACCTTACGGTCTGTGACTAAAAATATATAGTTTTCACCGCTTCCTTTTATTAATTGGAGTGTTGTCACTAAAAACTAAATATATCGTAAGGATCTTTGAGCAGAGTCCTTTCTAAAACCACATTGGTTCAATTTTTTAATCGCTTTGTTGTTGGCAATAAAATAGAAGTAACTGCCAACGTCGCTCCGTCGTGCGTACAGTCAAACCCCGCGCGCCCCGCAGACTCCCCAAGATGGCCGCCATGAAAAATTCTACTGGCAGATGAGCAAGACACCCATTACGTTTCTCTCCCCTATAGGACTCTAGCTAGCTAGGGATGGCAGGTTCGTAATGGCCAATGACGGATAAACGTTTTGGATGATCCGACTCAGTCCAGTCACATTACCGGTAACAGGCACAAGGGCGGCACCGATTCGCCAGCCACGCTTCTGTGCATCTCTTTTTTGACGTTGCCGGCAAAGTACCTTCCTTCTGCTACTCTGTGGGGCTCATCATGTCGTGCTCATGTCGAGTTACCCGTCAGGACGATCCCTACCAAGTCGAGGCGAGTCCCGGCGCCAGAGCAGCAGCACAATGGGAGAGCGACTCCGAGAGGAGCGCCCCGGGGGAGCGGCAGCGGCGGGCGGCACTTCTCGGTAGTTATGCCCGTCTTGACGGCCGTTTCTGGTTATGGTAGGGGGAGGAGCGGTGCTGCCGTGAGGGTCGGGCGGCGTTATTGGGCATAACAACAACGACTGCTGATCCGGTCCGCGCGCGCAAACTGTTGCCGGTCCCGATTGACGACCCACTATACTCCTCCTCAGCGATTTGCAATCAAGAGTGTTACCTACCCCGCGACGCTCAAACTCGCCGCGTCACGAGACCGATGCCGTTGTGACGTCACGCCCTGGGGGCACACTCGGGAACGAGTTTGCGTACGACTGGAGCAGCCTGCAATCATTTTTTCACACGCAATTTTTTTGGGAGGAACGAGAACGGCGAGGGTTTTCATTGGCAGCAGCGCTCATAGGTTTGTTGTCGCCGGCGTTGCACTGCTCTGACGCGGTGACCGCGTTGGCTTGTCGCCCGCTGCCCGCCCCCCGGTGGCCCCGCCAGCCCCGCACCGCCACGCCCCGTCTCGTCCTGCCCTGCCCTGCCTTAACCGGGTGGTTCACCTTGGCCGTCAGGCGCTCGTCCAGTGCAGTGAGGCCCCCCCCCCCCCAACTCCTTCCCCGCCCAGCGCGGCGGCGGCTGCGGTCTGCCGGGGCTGAGCCGGGCTGGACCACGCCGGGGCGCGCGCAGTCCGAGTCCAGCCGCAGCCACCGAGCCGCGCCCTGGCGCCCGCCGCCGACACAAACACGCGGATAATAACAATTTGTCACGCGCGTGCGCGTCTCCCGCCCACACGAGGAAAACAAGAAGCGCGCGCGCACAGAGGCGACGCCCTCCGACGACGACGACCACCCGTCATCGCCCTTCCAGACATGTACGTCTTTCTGGTGCTCGTCCTAATCTTCGAGTCCGTCTTCTTCCTCAGCGTCGCCGTCCTGAGGGCGGCCCCGATCGCGTGGCGCCACAGTGACTAAGTGCGTCGGGTGCGCGCGGTGCGGAGCTGTGCAGTGGCGTGCAGAAGTGCCGTGCGCTGTACGCACCGAGAGGTGTGGCGCCCTCCGCCCCGCCAAGAGGGGACTCCGCACAGCACACAGCAGCAGCAAGCAGCGGCGCGCCAACAGAATAACAAAGAGTTTGTTATTCGACGATACATTTTAGTCGCGTCGTCGGTGTCGTCGCGACGCGAAGTGCTGCCGGCAGTGTGCCGTGCCGTGAGGCCAGAGGTGCCACCGCACCGCGCAGTGAGGTCCGCTGAGGCGGCGGGGAAGGACCGCGGGGGCCAGACCGGCTAACAAGGGTGGCGCGCACCGGTCCCGACCCGGCCCAGCCAACTACATCCAGGACAACAACAACGCAGCGCAGCGCGACACGCGCCGCAGCACGGAGCGGGATACCGCACGGGCGCTGCTGCCGCTGGCTGTCTCCTGCTCCTTCCGGGACCCCGCCGCCCGCCCCGCATACTGCAACCCTGCGCCCTGCCTTGCGGGACCGCCTGAACACCCCAACCGCCCCAACCGCTCCAGGGAACAGGTAACAAAGCTATCCTACACCCGGTTCCGGGTACAAGTTGGGACTATACGCCCGTCAAAGTAGGCGAGCGCCGCCCCTGCCGCCGCAGAGGGTGGCCCGGTGCCTCACCCCCCGCCCCCACCCCCACCTCAGCACGGCTAAGGCCATGTGTTCGCGTGGCTTATCGCGGGAAAGTGCTGATTTTTAGTGTTTTGGTTCGACGCTTCCTGGGATGGGCATCGATCAGAAAATCTAGACTTAACTTAAAATGAGTTTTCGCGGCTCGGCTCGGGAGGGTGTAATCGTCGTGTGCAATCTCGCCTTACGGCCGCCCCCCTGGTGGAGAGAGAGTAAGCGTGAGCGTGTGTGCGTGAGGGAGAGAGAGAGAGAGATCCTCTCGGAACACGACTCTGTCTGTTATCCGAAACCAGAGACAGTTTCGCTTGTGGCGGGTAAGTGTCTGTGTGCGAGCGTCGGTCTGTGTGAGCGTGTTCGCAGAGTGCAAGGGGTGTATTGTGTGAGCACCGAAAAATTCTAGGAAATGCATTCGAGGAGGTTGGGCGGGGCGGGGGGAGGGGGAGTCCCGTTGTACAGTAACCAGTATCGAGTATCGCATTGGTGAGCGCGGGTGGGCGTCGGGTGGGCTGGCACCTTGACTTTGGGCGGTCCTGCTCTGCTGTGCCCCATTAGGCAGGCGGTGGGCGCGCGGCGTCGTCTGCGCTGCAGTGCGGACCCGGGACTTGGAACTCGCGGGACCGCAAACCGGACGACCGCCGCCGCCCGGTCGGTCAGTTTCGGGCCGGGACCCGCGCGGAGCGGAGCACTGGGAAGCTGGGCTGGACCTGCTGGGTCGCCGCACCTGGCATTGGCCTTGGCAGTGGTGCCCGCGCCCGCGCCGCCTCCAGTCGCGGCCGCGAGTAGAACCATAAGAGCGAGGGAGATAGACGGGCGAGGCCTCTCCGTCTCTCTCACAACAACTTCAACATCGAGGACCACACTTCCCCGACAACGTAACTACTAATTTAACACCTTCGGCATATACTGTACGGCGTGATCTCATCCTCTGCTGGATTGGCATTGGCCCACCCTCTGCACTCGCCTTACGTGTTAAGTGACCCCCTTGCCGTTCCCGACAGGAGGCCGCGATGCAGTAGCCACTCCCGCGGGTCGGGCCCACCACCACCAACCCCCAGGATGCGCTCTGCGCTGTCTCCGCCCCCGCCGGGGCGCCTGCCGCTGGCCGCGCTGACTCTGCTGCTGGCGCTCCTGGCGCAGCACACCGAGGCCCAGAGCGCGCAGGCCGGGCCGCAGGCCAGGACGCTCTCCTCCAGGCTGTCGCCTCTGGAGGCGGCGGCGCGCCTCGTGCGCAACAACCCGCTCACCTCGCGCCGCGACGCGCAGGTGCGCGACGTGCCCGACGCCGCGCTGCTCAAGGAGTACGACTTCGTGGTGGTGGGCGGCGGCACGGCGGGCTGCGTCCTGGCGCGCCGCCTGTCGGAGAACCCGTCGTGGAGCGTGCTGCTGCTCGAGGCGGGCGGCGACGAGGCCGTCTTCACCGACATCCCGCTGCTGGCGAGCTACGTCGCCAACACCAACTACAACTGGGGCTACCACGCGCAGCCCTCGCCCGACTACTGCCGCGCCATGCGCGGGAAGGTCTGCAACTGGCCGCGAGGCAAGGTGAGAGACTTGGCTTTTCTTTTTAAATTAAATAAATAAACACCAGAAGGGTGCAAGAAGTGCGCACGTGGCCACACGCCGCGTAAGTTTTGAGGCGTGAGCAAGCTCCACTGCAGCGGGCTCTCGCGCTGCGCCCTTCTGTAGTAAGTGATCTCATGGTGGTCAGAGCCGCATCGAGGGAGGGCATTGTTTTTCAGAGGGGGACGTCACGTGCAGTGCATACTGCAGCCCCGGGAAGTGCGCTCGAAAAACGATATCGCGAGGCAGAGGGGCAGGGGAGGGATGGGGGGTGTAACTGACATTCCGTTGCCCCCTCCCCCCCCCCCCTTTCCCATTCCCTCTCCTGCCTGCCCTCCGTGCTCTCTCTGCATCCAAAACTAAACATGGCATGGCAGCGACCATCCATCAATTAGCGACGACGTGATGCTGCCCGACACTGGCACCCAGCACGTCGCGCCCCCACCCCCAGCCACCAGCCACTCCACCCCGCCCCGCGCCCCGCCCCACTGCATGCACGGCAGAACGGGGTAGCGGTTTGCGGTCTGGCGGCTGTCGCTGCCCTCCGAGATCTCTACACCGAGCATTAGGCCTCGCGCATCTCACCCGCGGGGTCCCCTGAGGTCGCCGTGGAAGGGCGTCACTCTTACTCTGGGGGGCGCAACTCTACGGTGGGGTGGGCCATCATTGAACTGCATCACTGAAATGCAACCAAAGGCTAGAGAGGGGACGGCCCGCACCTCGTGAGCCAGGTTCAGAGATGGCCCACCCTCGGCAACTCTCGCGGGTTTGCCACACAACTAACTGTCACCGGTGCTCCGCAGGTGCTCGGGGGCACTAGCGTGCTCAACTTCATGGTGTACGGCCGAGGCAGTCCGCTCGACTTCGACGAGTGGGAGTCCCTAGGCAACCCCGGCTGGGGCTACCGCGACGTGCTGCCGTACTTCAAGAAGTCCGAGGACATCCAGGTGGCTGCCCTCGAGAACTCGCCGTACCACGGGCGTGGAGGCCCGCTGTCAGTGCAGGAGTCGCCCTGGCGTTCCGTCATGGCCCCGGCCTTCATCCAGGTAGGCGTCATGGGGACGGAGGAAGGCTTTGTGTTGCGTTGCAGTGCAGTGTAGTGCGTAGTACAACGGCGTCCTCCCGCATCTGTCTCCCCTGCAGGCCGCGTCCGAGATGGGCTACGACGTGGTGGACCACAACGGCGAGCACATGGCCGGCTTCTCCTTCACGCTGGCCACGCTCCGGAACGGCTCGCGGTGCAGCTCGGCCAAGGCCTTCCTCCGCCCCGTCCAGCACCGCCCCAACCTGCACGTCGCCAAGCACGCCCGGGCCACGCGCGTGCTCGTCGACCCGTTCACGGGCGTGGCCGTGGGCGTGGAGTTCGTCCGGGACCGCAAGTGGCGCGTGGCCAAGGCGCGTCGCGAGGTGATCCTCTCGGCGGGCACCCTGAACACGCCGCAGCTGCTCATGCTGTCGGGGCTGGGGCCGGCGGACCACCTCCGCGACCACGGCATCCGCGTCGTCCGCGACCTACCCGGCGTGGGGGAGAACCTGCAGGACCACGTCTCGTTCTTCGGCGGCATCACGTTCATGCTCAACGACACCGTGTCCGTGGTGGAGGCGCGCGAGTCGCGCCGCCTGTCCAGCGTGGTCGACTACTGGGTCACGCAGGACGGCCCGCTGACCTCGCCCGGCGGGGCGGAGGGCATCGCCTTCGTGAACACGCCTCTCAACGAGCAGCCGGCCCGCCCAGACATGGAGCTGTCCTTCGGGCCGGGCGCGCTCACCGGAGACTCGTCGGGCAGCTTGCGCGGGCTGCTGGGCGTCGACTCCAGCTTCTACAAGAAGGTACAGACGCTGGTCGTCCCAAGTGTCCATGGCAGGGCGCAGTTCACACCGTGCTCTTATGTTTGTACCAGATAGCTGATTAAACCCCGGAGTTATGCAGTACCGCATTCCTACGTGCGGGCGGGTAGCCTACTCGCTCGGCTCGTAAGGCGCCGTGGACAGGGGCGATAGGCAAGCCCGCCCGCGCTCATGCGTGCAGTACAGGATAACTACAAAACGTGCTCGAACTAAAGTGTGGTGTCGAACTCGGCATGTTGCTTCCAGATGTTCGGGGGTGTGGAGGGCCAGGACGCGTTCACGGTCAACCCCGTGCTGCTCCGGCCGCGCAGCCGCGGCCGCGTCCGCCTGCGCTCCGCCAACCCGTTCCACTGGCCGCTGCTCTTCGCCAACTACTACCAGGACGAGCACGACGTGCGCGTCATGGTGGAGGGCATCAAGCTGGGCGTGGCGCTGGGCGAGACGGCAGGCTACCGGCGCTGGGGCGCGCGCCTGCACCAGCGCGCCGTGCCGGGCTGCGAGCACCACGCCTTCCGCTCCGACCAGTACTGGGGCTGCGCCGCCCGGACCCTGTCCACCAACCTGCACCACCAGTCGGGCACGTGCCGCATGGGGCCGGCCGGCGAGCGGGGCGCCGTGGTCGATGCGCAGCTCCGCGTGCACGGCGTCCAGGGCCTGCGCGTCGTGGACGCCTCGGTCATGCCCACCATCATCTCGGGCCACCCCGCGGGTGTCGTCTACATGATCGCGGAGAAGGCGGCCGACATGATCAAGGAGACGTGGGACCACTGACCACCCGACCTGTGTCCGTGTAGGATAGAGAGCTTGTCAATGTCAATCAAAAGATCTCAATAATTATTAAATTTATTATCATATCAAAGATCATTTACTCGAATAACAGAAAATTCTTCAGCACTCAACAGTTTAACAATAATACAATACAAAAAACATAGTAAAATAACTAAATTTGAACATCATTTAACAAATAAGCCCAGGCGGATACACAACAGAATATCTTTAAACTGAAACAAGAAGTGAAGCAAAAAGAATATGATAAGATAGGAAACATTCCTCATTCAGCACCTTTCCTCAAGGAAATATTGTTTGAAATATATAGACGTCATGATAATTACCTACTTAGTATAAGAATATTAGGCATGGCCATTAGTAAATCTGCTCCACACAAACAAAATCCTATCAACAAAAAAAGAAATAAATGACACACTCAAGGTGCATCAAATTCTGAAAGGATAAGCAGTTCTTGAGCTAATCAGGACCTTGACTTAAAATATTAAAAGTACAGGCTACAGATACACATGTTCTCTTGCCTGCAGGAGACCTATATAAGATGAACAACAGCCATTGAAAGATCAGAACTGAAAATTCGATTACAAGGTAAAATGGAATGTTCTAAATCTACTGAATTTATGTAGTATACGTTAATTTAGTGACTGACAACACACTGGAAAATGCCCTCAAAATACAGATCTTCGACCTCTGACCAATGTAAAAGTATCACACGCATTCTAGTGCACTAGATTACAATTGGGTGGATCATAGGTAGCCAGAAAGTTTAAAACACAACTATAACATTAGATATCACATAGTTATCTATATTGTTTTACCAATTTTAAGTCAAATAATTTAAACCAACAACATTTAGAACAGAATTCAGTTGTATCTAAATGCAGGTCTGATTACACAAATTCTGGACTTGCATCAACATATGATTTAATTGATAGTATTTGTGAATAAAATGAATCAGACTTCAAAAAATACCTGGCATCTAAAACATCAAATACAAAAGCTTTACCTTTTTAAAAATATACAAATCTAGCATGAATGTGTATGATAAGAGAAACATTCATTTGCAGCTTGTGTATGGAATACAGGATTATATAAAGTAGATCGAATTTCAGAGAGATTTACAGATATCAGTCAGTTGCATGACACAAGGTACTGGAAAACAGGCTGACTCCATTTAAAGAAATTTCATGGTCAAAGCTTGTCTTCCAACGCAGAACAAAATGTGATCAGCTATCCCCCTCGATTCAAAATGTTTTATGAGACTTTCACATGAGGGGTGGACGGATGTTTTAAGCATAGTCTGCCAGATTTGCAGTAAAAATATACCTGTGATCAAACCAGATGCTAATTTACTGATAAATCTGACTTTATTTTTACTTGTAATGACTTGTGGATTAATTGACTTCAAGCTCATAATATGACATGTTTCAATACAAAAATAAGTTGGCCTTTTCAATCTTCAAGCAGGAAACAATATCAGCTCATATGTTAAATCTACAGTACAATAAACTCCTCATAGAATAATTTGTAACAAAATAGAACAATGATCATAATTATTTATAAATGTGAAGTGTGCCCTAGAGATCTTACAGACCTCATCCACCTCCGTCACAAAATGAGGCAGGCTAATTCACTATACAGTTTCGACTAATACAGCAGTAAAGAGGAATACAACTTAAAACATATCCAGTATTGATAAGAGAAAAGAGTAGGATAGTAGACAGATAATATTAATCTCAATATGTAGATCAGAAGAAACTACACCATTAAATCAGTCGTAAATTTAAAACTTGAAACACAAGTCCACGCTTTTACTAAAATATTGAATGAAACCCTGACTTCAACTAAAACTGATTCCAACAATCACACTGGTATAAACCAATCTTTTTCAACTTCTCATCTATAGTCAGTACAAAGAAATTGAACAACGTTTACATAACAGATGGAAAATTTCTTCTTGGAATAAAAAAGATGCACATGGTGGCCCATCGGCGCCGTTCTTTCTTCAGGTTATAAAGTAGCGGACTCAGGCGTGAGAAAGGATTGCCTATCGTCGCTCACCAAGGCACCAATCAGCCACCATGTTTTTAAAAATCTAGGATGTCATGGAGGGGGATACATTATCACATCAAGAAGAGGGTGCAAGAAGACCCTGGACCTCCTCAAGGATGGAGGAAAGCAAAGGGCTGCAGTCACTCTTACCATCCACTACTAATGTCTTGGTTGATATCTGGAAAACAGAATAAAAAAAATTGAAGTTACTTTCACAAATATGCACAGAACACTTAAAAATCTCCATACTTTATTTACCAGATTAACTCATGCTAAAGTAATGTACTAGTAATACATACATTGAATTTTAAAAGTAAGCAAACATTGTGCTGCTGAATTGAATGACTATACAGAGAGGCTGTAGAATCCACTTGTTCAACTAAGGTAAAATGAGCATGGAAGCAGACACGTTGTAGAATCTGGAATGTGAACAATCAACAGAGGTAATTTTAGATATTAGAAAATGATTGAGTGGTCCTTCAAACAGTAAAAGTGGATTGAAAAAGTACTGCACCTGAGAAAAATCAACATTAATATTTTCCAGAGTCATGCTGCTTCGAGCAGTGAGAGAACCACTGGCTAGCAGGTCAGTGACGGTTTCTCGTTGAGTTAGACGGCCAATCATAAAGCTTGAACACGGTAAACGAAGCCAGAAGTCAAGCTTTTCTTGAGATGAAATGCCATCACTACCCTATGTATACAAAATTTATTAGATTAGAAAAATCCAATAAACAAAGTTAGGTTGATACATTACATATAAAATAAAACATACACTTACCTCTATCATGAATGTGAGAGTACACCTTAGTTTTTGAGCAAAGGTAACATCAGAAACTTGGAAAGCAAATAAGGCTTCACCAGAAGCATTTGCCTTAAGTTGAAAAGGAAGCTTTACACCATAATGATCAACATCCTAGAAGGTAGGCGAAGATATTAGATAACGTTATAAATTACAATACAAATTACCTAATCAAATCCATACTTACACTTTTCATTAACTTTATAGTAGGAGAATCGGACACACTAAAGTCTAGCTCTTTGACAAGCTGTGTACTAATGTTGTTAAAAACAACCGACACTATAATTTGATTGTTTTCTAAGCCAACAGTTCGAACTTCATGCACCTGAAATTTACATCATAGATAGTAAAATGCAAAACCGGAATTACAAAACAAAAATTATTGGCAGAGGGTAGAAACAGACCAGCTGCAGAGTTTTGTCAGCTGCCAATTTTGAGTAAGCTGAAAGTGGAGGAGCTGCAGCTGAAGGTGCACTACGACTTTTATCAACAAAGCTCAAAATTTCCTTGGAGGGGGTAGAAATGCCAGCAGCTTCTTCATATCCCTCCTTTGACTTGGTAGAATCCTTGTGTTTGGCTGCAAAGTTAATCAAGGGGTATTGCAATTAGTACCTTCTATTTACATACTGTTTTTGAAAATTCAAAAAATGTGCTGCTAAAGTGACTTACAAGATTTTTCTGAGTCTTTAACCTTTTTTTTGCTCTTTTTTATCTTTTTTTCTTCCCCTGTAGCAGGAACCAGACTATCTTTTGGCTCTGATTTTTTCTCTTTGGTTGTAGAAGGTGAATCAAGTGAGAGCCACAATTCATCACTATTGGTGAGATCATTCTAAGAAATGGAAGAATGTAAGTGTTTATCCAGTGGATACTTTTCAAAAAGCACAATTAAAGTAAATGAGCGAATTAATGTTAACTTACTTTGGCATCTTCACTACCCACTCCTCTTTGACGCTCTTCCTCTACCAACAATTTCTTCTTGGAATCTTTCTTGTGTTTAGACTTTTTGTCCTTACCCTGCCTTTTCTTGTGCTTTTCAGAGGACTTTCCATGATTGCCTTCAAGAACTTGAGAATCACCTTGATCTTCAGGCTCATCTTGAATTGGGAGAAGAGTTTCATCCACAAAGCGATGAGCAGGCACAGGTAACTTTTCCTCATCTCGTAAGGGCCTGTTCATAGTTAATTTACAATAATAAAACTAAAATATGTATCAAAAAACAAACAGAGCATTATTAGGATTTATAAATACTTACTCATCAAGATTTATGTCAAGTGCACGATGGGGATCATCTTCAGGGCGATTGTCATTGTCATCAGGATCAGAGAGTTGTGCCCCTTCTGGCATTTCTCCAATATCAGTGTTGACAACATGTAAAGCTTGAATGTCATCATCATCTTCAGATGATACTTTCTCCTTCTTGCGTTTCTTTTTCTTCTTTTTGTCCTTCTTAGAAGGCTTATCAATCTCAACGTTGTAAGATTTAGAAGGAGACATGTAGTGATTGGAGGAAGTAAGACCTAAAAAAATAGAAATACCGGAATAATTATTACATTTTGACTAATTTACATGGCTAAAAGAATGAAAGGAAAAGAAAATCAATCAAAAATAAGTTTGAACTGAAATGGTACCTGGTATTTTAAGAGGGATAGGTAGATCAATTTCTGCCATCGGAATATTGCTTATATCGTCTTGCCCATTCATTTTTTCTGAGCTGCGATTCTTGCTAGACGAATGTGATGACTTCAAATAGTGAGGATTGCTTGCCTGTTCAACTTTGCGAGCTGCTCTCCTCTAGAAAGTTAAAGTACAAACATTTCACATTAGTACCGAGTGCATTGAACAACAATATATAAACATTTGCAAGAAAAGATTAGATTTGTAACAAAGAAAGTTAAGAGTGCCTTTTCAAGTTCCTCCTCTGATGGTTCAGGGATAGCTGATGGCGCAAATTTATTGCCAACTACATTGCTGAATATTGAATTGTCTTCTTTATAATCTTCCTCATCAGAACTGCTGGATGGTGGAGGATCATTTATCCAAGCATCCAAATCCAACCTAGAAAATGAAATATAACAAACTTAAGGTAGATAAATATAGTCAAACAGGTTACATTCAACAGCACAGAAGGGGCTAACTTTAAAAAATTCCTACCCTTCAGGTACTTGAACTTTCTTTTGAGCTTTGGGGGCTACAGGATTCAGCTCTCCAGTGAAAAGAGCACTGATTTCTTCTGACATGCCAGTCTCATTTTTGCTAACTTGTTTGTGAATGTATCGTACAAGATGAACTGCAGAACTGGCTCTTTCCTGCACTTCTAAATCAGCACTCGACACAAATTGTATAAGTTTGTTACCTACAGAATCACACAGCTAGAAAGAGAATAGAGGGGTGTAAGTAAGTGTAAGTAAGTCTCAAATAACAAAAGTCTGGTAAATAACCTAATGAATGAATTATTGTCTTACCAGTAATATTGCTTCGCTGTCACCTCTTTCTTCCTCTTGATACAATATGTGAGCAAAGACTTTCAATATATTCTGAACATAAATTGCCTGAATATGTCCCGGAAGCTGCACTAATTTACCGCGAAGCATAGCATCTAAAGTGTCTTGAGGATCCTTGAGTTCGCTATATAGTGAACATCAGTTAATAGACATTACAGTAACATATATCAATGCATTGGTGGACACAAAAAAAAACTGAGAGAACTTACGTAGCAAACTCTCCACAAATATAGGCTGCAGCATAGAGCACATCTGCCATTTTGGAGCTTGGTCGGAAAAAGAGATGGGCATTTTCCAAGAGAATTGCCATTTGAGAAACTGCAAAACTGCGAATCGCTTGAACACGAATTGCCACATCTAGCATTTGAGTGGCAACCAAAGATCCATGCTGAGTTCCTTCCATATCAGTAAGTTCCACCAGTACACTAACATACCTATCAAGGAAATTCATTTATGAGAGAGCATGGAGAAACAAAAAGACATGGCTCTGTAAGGAGAGAAGATACGTACCACTCAAAGTTTGTAATGAACTGATAGTTATTTTGAGAGCATATTTGAATTATTTTAGACAATAATTCATCTCGGTATGTAGTTCCTTCAGCCTTATCCATGTGAACCATTAACTTCTTAACAATTTCCATTAGGTTTTTTTTAGACACCTGCATTTATTTGTTATTACATTTTTCCATTATGTAATCATGTGTATTGATACTGATTTTCAAAAAGTGCACACAAAAAGTGAAGAGTAACATACCATGCCATACAGTAGATCAAGAGCTCGCAGTCTAATTGATTCATCTTTGTCATCAAGGCATTGCATAATGAGGTCTTTGTGTGCTTGTACAGATTTAGGATGAGTCTTGAGAATCTTAGACATGGCTAGCAGTCCTAAATATTTCACTGTTAAAAAAATTATTTAAATTAGGTTAAGTGAAGAAGGAAATAATAAACATTGAATAATAAATGATTATGTTTGTACTTACAGTTCTGATCAGAATCCTCAATTAGAATGCGTAGTTTTTGGACACATAACTGTAAACATAAATACACATAAATGCACTCAACTTTAATAAGAGCATATGACGGCTTGAACTGGGGCCAAACAGTCACACAGCCAATGGTACAAACGCAAATACTGCATATAAAATGAAATACAATTAGCACTCTCAGTGCACTGCATGACCACTGTGTGTTCACACTCATAGGGTATGAAATATGTGCTGCACTGAACATGTAATAATGAGTGAGGAAAAATTTAGGACATACCTGTATTGAAGCACTGTGATTTGGCATTCCAGAAGATATAGAGATTAAAACTGCAAATAAGGCAAGCAAGTTCGGTTTTTTTGTTTTTTTTTACAAAGGACAAAGTTGGATTTACTTTGTGGTTTAATCTTTCAATAGCAGTTCAACTTACCAGCTATCACGGTATTGATGCACTCATACAGTAATGACATTGCAGATGTGCTGCAAAACCCAATTCAATTTTAGATTAGACAAAGGTTGATTTACATGATACATAAATAAATAGTATATTAGAGAAGAGCTATGACAGGTTAATCAAGGACTACATAGTGTGGATTGACTTCAATAGGTCATAGAGCAACCTGTACAATATTCCACAATTGCACCATATTTTATTATCACCAACTGTCTACAACTGTTTTAAGAAAGAACCAAGTAATAAAATCAGAAGTTAAAAAGGTCTGCTGTCACATACTATATTATAATCACAACATAGTAGAGCAGTAAAAAGATTATCAATCAGTTATAACTGAGAATTGTAATCTCCAATCTCTTGAAGATACATGAGAAATTATCAAACACTTAGAAAATAAATACAAGTGCTTTCTTACAATAAAAGGAGGGCAAATTGGTTGAAGCAGTTTATAATAAATTTTGCAATGTGAGTGCCAAGCCAAGATAGAATATTCATTTGAAAATAAGCTGTAGGAAAATGAACACATGGTGCCTTGGTTGCTGACAGTTCAATAGCATTACACATGTGCTGCCATGTAAAGTCAAAGAGCATAAACCATTGCAGAAAAGTGCTGTACACTCAATTTTGCACACTCAAAATTGTTACAGAATAGGTAGAAAACAGAGTTGCTGGTATAAATGTGTCATGGTATCAAGGATGCATTCTACTGATTGTGGAACTCTAATTCCACACATTCAAAATGTATGTGCTAACATCAACCAGCTGAAGTGTGCCCCAGCACAAACCCCATAAAGTGGAACGTAATATCACCTCAAGAGTGACTGGAATTAAGAACTGCACTTCTATAGTATAGTGAAAACTATACTAGGTTTTATTTAGATTACCTACAAAACTAATGTTTCTGAGCAGAGTTTAGTTACTACCTATAACCAATTAGCATACTAAAAAGTTTAACCAGGTACCTCCTCATTTAAAAAAGAAAAAGAAAGAAAGAAAATTACTCAGAACTACCTAAGTTTCATCAAGACGAGGTATTTACCTGTGAATAAGGTTGGTAAGAGGCTCTATGAGTTTCTTACCAAGACGAGGCTCCAAGGGAGTCAAAGCACCAAACTGAAACACAGGCGACACTCAAAATTGAAAAATTTTAAGTATCCACACTTTCCAACTTGATAGACATGAGCTGCTTAAAGAGGAGATAAAACCTTAACAAGCATTTCTGTTGTTACAGTAACTAGATAAGAGAACACTGAGTTACGTCCTAATGCTATATTTCCTTCTTTTTTACCCAACCCAAAACTAGATATCAAAAAATACACAACTGGTACAAAACTTCCATAAGAACCTTTAGGTGAGGGTGCTTTAAAGCAGGCAATTACTCTCAGCAGAATTTACAAAGAAGCAACTACACTTGTGTTTAAACTTTTAATTATTTGATTTTACCTTGATATTATTTCAATTAAGGGCAGAGTTAGTTTTTGACCAATGCGTGGCTCAATCAGAGTCAGAGATCCAAACTGTAATGTCACATTATAATTAAAACATATGAGGCCCTTACTTAGCATGAACTTTAACAAAGCTAATTTGTCAAAAAATATAATAACTTTATCAAAAGCAAAAATGAATGGTAGAAAGCAGTACCACAATGACACTGCTCCCTGATAACAACTTAAACTGAGGTGAGGACACCTGAAGAGCAGTAGCAATTTCAAAACACAACGAAGAGATTGACAATTAACACAAAGGTCTAGAACTTACCAATTTGATGATCTTAATGAGCATCCAGTTGTTTGTGGATGTTGTCATGAGCTTGAAGAACATTGGTGCAAGGCTTAAGTAGTTCTTCGGATTTTTACGAGCAAGTTCACACACAACATTAACTGCTGCAGATTGAACACCTAAGAATCAAAATTTATGATCTTTAGAATAAATTTTTCACTTAACCCATTAAATTAAATATTTGACATGAACTGTCTTTTTAAATGAAACACAACAGTTTCATATTGTATACCTGAGTCAGGATCTTCAAGTTTTTCCTTCAGGCGAGGAAATGCAGGACGCAGTGCCTCAGGGAACCGTAAAAACACTTTGTACATCATTAGCACAGCCTTTTTCCTCAGGTATGGTTTTGTTGAAGTTAACTGCATGAGAAAAAGATTAATTCCAAAAAGAGAGCCAGAAAAGAGGATAAATGATGTCATTTTGTAATACTACTACTTACCAGTGTCATAATATCATTAGCTAAGTCACGAGCCAGATCAGGACTTATAAAACATGATAATGCTGAAAGAGCAAGTCCTGCATCATACTGGTTTTGGCTATTTAAGTCTTTGCGGATCATGTTAGTGGTTAACATAAGGAGCTGTAAGAATAATGGGAATAGTTCAGATACAATTTCTAGGTAGATATATACACTTAAAAGAGGAGAAGCAGACAATTTCTTCATTTCTAGGTATCATTAGATGTAACATACCTCAGTGTCGGTATGGAAGCATTGAGAAGATGCCAGATAACCAATACGTTTGTATGTGAACTTGGAGGAACTCATAACTTCAATAATGTTAAAACCAGCCCAACTAATATCATATCCCATCATTTGCAGCTGAAGTGATAAAAAAATTAATACAAGTTCATAAATAACAAAAATAAGCTATGTTAAGTACTACTTACATAATTCAGTTTGGCTACAGCATTAGCTTTGACAGATAAATTATCTTGTCTAAGTTCTTGCTTGATTTCTTCAATGCATTGAGCAATGTATTTAGCCTAGAAAAAAATTAATTGATTACATAATGTTTAAGACGATGAAAATACAGTTTCCTGCCCAGTATACCAAAGGGTACATTACTAACTAGTCACAAAAAAATTGGAAGATAAGTGAGAAGTTTAATTCCTAGTAAGGGAATATTCCTGTAATGATTACACCATAAAACCCCATAAATAGCTAGAGTAATTGTGACACAAACTGGTCCTCATGAGACTGATAGATGAAGTATGTACCGCTTGAGAGAAGAAGCAGTCTAGGGCATGCAATGATTTGATAAACTTCGTGCCATGAGATTGAAAAATCAAAAATGTAAAGTGATGTAAAGAGTATAGAACTTATGCAAATATTTGACTCCATTTCAAAAATAAGTCAATATTTTAAACAAGAAAAAAAAATCATGGAAAGGTACAAAAGAAACGGAAAACTCTTATAGAGCAATGGCAAAAAACGAGGGTAATATGCAAGGCTTACAAACCTCATTATCTTTGTTGTTCCTAATGCCTCGGACAAGATCCGTCAAATTCTTGTCAAACATACGTTCTAAGTTTCCTTTAACTTTTCGAAGCGCCATGATTGAGGATTCCTCAAATTCTATTTAAAATGATAACAACACCAACATAAGACTGAACTACTAAACTTTATCACTTGCGGTCAAACTTTACTCATTTTTCAAAAGGAGTAGAAAATTTTAAGGTTATTCATTTCTACTCGAGCAGAGTTCACCAAACTCCCTGATGACCCGATCGGTCGGTCTTCGTCTCAAGGGAGAAAGTGGTACTGTATATAGTGCCTGTGAAGTTTGAAAACATCGGCTTCGTCCCTGCAAATAACGCATGAGGCGTAAAGTACCAGGAGTACCATCGTAAAAGAGGTAAACCATTTAAAAGATTAAAAGTTGTAAATATTGGGAACTTTCTTCGTGTATTTTACAATTAAATTTTATTTTCTTAGCAAGTTTGGTTTTGAAGGAACTTTCACCGCAAGCTGACATGGAATATTATAGTGCGGTTTATTTCAGTTGGGATGTTGGATGCCGTAAAGTTGTCTCTCATCTTCTATCCTTCTCTATCTGTACCTGTCTCCTGTCTGTCCCAAAACACAAGTTGACGTGGGACGTACGTAAAGTGAAATCGGTGAAATTCGACATATACTCGGTTGATACCTGAAAAGATCTATTGAATTTATGAAAATTTGTGAAACTGGCGGCCGAACACTGTTTGTCTATCTTTATAAATCAAACCTTTCATGCAAAATCAAAGTGTTTCGTCGCCTGCATCCAACAATGGGTAAGTTAATATTGTTTATTTCCTGCAAGATAAAAGTGTTCTAGCTTTCTCCGACAGGTATTTTCCGTCGTTTTAACGCATTTAATGCAAACTCTCACACAAAGAAAGTTAAGTTTAAGAACCACATACCAGTGCTCAGAGTTTGGAATGAACATTAAAATGTCACTCAATAAAACTTGTCAAAACATTCCTTGATTTTGTCGTTGATTACAAGTCACTATGCAAGGGTTTTTTTTTATCCTTTCTCAGAAACATTGGCCACTCCTGTGAAAATTTCCTATATGTTTTTATTTAAACTGATCAGAATTTTAAGTGTAGACTCAGTTTACTAATGTGTATGTGTTTAAACAACTCTTGTAATAATAAAAAATCTGTTTCAGAAATGTTTTACCGAGTGGTAGTGTGTATTGCTCCACGTCCACGCTCAGTGATTCGGGATCATGGGACACTGATTTTGATGATGACCAGAACTCTGAAAGCTCTGGATTTTATGGAGATGTTGGAGCCACCATAGTAGATAAGCCAGAAATCCAAATAAAACCTTCAGGTGTCGGCAGGGTTGCAGCACTTGCTAAAACTGTAGCTGCATCTTTGGCTGCTTCTGGACATTCTAGTAAATATTTGAATTTTTGTTTGGTAATATTGGTAATAATTTCTTTAAAGAAATTGTTTCTTCACTTTCTTATATATTTTTATTTGTTTTCTCTGTACAAGGTTCAGCTAAGTTTCAAAAGCCTCTGAAAAAGAATGAAATTGACGATTCCAGAGGAATTCTTAGGTCACCAGATCGTCATCAAGTCAAAACAGTCCTGAGGCCATCTAAAATCATGCCTAGCGGTCTTGTGTCTGTAGCAAACCAGCATGGTTCATTCCATAATGATAAACCCACCTTGAAGGATAAACCTGTCCTCACTTCAAATAATAATCTAAATAGGAATAGTTTATCTGGCTTACCAAAGCCTCCAGGCCCTGAGTAAGTATGCTTTATCAGACAGTGTTACTCACAAATTTGTAGAAAAGTGAGATGGTTAATATTCATTTTAAATTATGCAGGTCAGAACAAGTCCAGCAAGTCATAGGGGCATTGGGGCAGCTGTGGTCTTCGGATTCTATGAGTCTATCTTCACAAACTCAGGTAATTCTATTACTTCAAGTATTTTACTTGTTTTGCATGGCCCCTTTGATACCTCTCACTTTCAAAATTTTCCTATTGCAGAGCGATGATGATTATGAGCCCATGCAGTCAGATTCTTCATCTCCCCAATTGCCTCGCTTGAGTCCCCACCACCCTATGTATGGTGGAAGTCAGAATGTTTCCCATGAGGATATTCATAAAAGAATTCATTCAATTGACAATCATGCTTCCATTCCTGACTTGCATTCCAACACTTTAGTTCATTCATTCCTTCACTCTACCACTCGTGCTTCTGAACATCTCACTGCTGGAAACAGCAATTCCGCTCAACCAAAGATTTCTCCTCAAGTTACATCTCAGTCAACACCATTCTTGCACAGTTCAGCTGCGGCAGCTGCCTTAGCTGCTGCAGCAGCTTCTGCTGCTACAAGTCGACTTTCACAATGTTCAAAACGATCAAGTGGTTGTGACAGTGTTTACAGCCCCTCTAGTGGATCCAGCATATCTGAAACATCTCATCAAACAATGACTCAAAGCCGTGAAAATGGTGATGGTGTCTATGAACCAATTGAAGAGAAGCAAAAGGTATGTGAAGTACGCCACTTCATAACTTGAAAGTGTATCTTTTTATTTATTTTTCCTAAAGCTAGTTCTAATTTATTTTATTTATGTTAAAACATATGTTCTTTGCAGATAGACAGTATTTCTCAGAAAAGTTTCCTCCATTCATCACAGATATCAGGTGAGTTCACTGCTTCTTCCTCATTCCCATTGATGGAGCCCATCAAGTACTTTTTTCCCAGCCCTTCTCTCTCGTGTGTGTGTGGGG